GCACCCAAACAAGAATACGGTATGTGGCTGGGTAGCCAGTAGTTATGCATGTATTTAGCTTTTACTATATATTTAGGAAAATCTATCCATGTAAAACAGGCGGCTTTGCCGCAGATAAAAATAAATACAGTCAGTTTTAAATTTTAAACGGAAGAGTTTGTTAGCCTTGTATTAAGGCAATAATTACTTTTGGAGTCAGCGGATTGTGATTCGCTAAACTCGTACTTGTTCTAAGTATAGAACGAAAGGTCGGTGACCTAAGTTACGCTCCCTCAAAGCGCAAAGCTACGGCAGCCCCGCTGCAGACTGGCTGGTCTGGATACGCACCTTGTTTGAGAAAACATAACTAAAATTCAAAATATTCGCGAACGGACCTTATAAACAAATTTTTCATACGTTTTTCAACATGGACTCGTGCAGTCGTAAGCTCTTTTAAATCTAGGTGCCTTGGTACAACAAGGCAACTGCTCAGTTTGAACATTGGGTGATACGTTTAAATTGAAAGCTTGAATTAGTAATTTTTATCTGAGCTTCGCTTTGTTATTAATAAACCTTGATCTAAGCTACGTTTCTCACGATGCTCTTCCACTCAGTACCTTTAAACTTTGCTCCATCTAGAAATCTGTCTAAGAAAATAGCACCAAAGTTACTATTAACGCCGAAGCGTCACTTTGATAAGACATCAGGGGGTGATAATCGATTTGTTACTGCTGACAAGACAGAATATGCTGTCAAGGAAGCGCAATTTGCCTAATCATAACGAATTCATATGTGGAAGTTTCACGAGTCGGTGGTTTTTAGACCCGCAGCCAACTCAAATATAATAAAATACGGCTTCCTACCAATACATATCATTATCCAAAATGGTAGTAACCGAGAACCACGAAGAGCTGCTACCACTTGTTCGTAGTGTCGAGGATGGTACCTGCGTGCCAGCAGCAGAGGATGTTCCCAGTGTAACGTCTTCCCATCGTTGCAGGGATGTGGATTGCGTTGTGTTTCTTGTGGTGCCGGGACTTGGGGATGATTGCCAAGACGCTGCTGCCAAAATTGAGAAGACGCTCAAAGACAGCGCCTTGGGTGTGCGTAACGTGCAGCTGGATCTTATGGACAGGCTTGCAAGGATTGAGCTTTCACACCATGTAGACGAAGCAACGGAAATAGCACTAGCTGATGTGGTGCAACGCGCTACTCTTAATAACTTCGTAGCTTACCCCGTATGGCAGCATCGTGAACGCATTGTACGTCTGCACGTAGATGGTATGCGCTGCATGACAAATTGTGGGTGGCAAGTGATTCGTGCGCTGGAGCAGATTCCTGGCGTGTTACACATTCACGTCGACTCGAAGTCCATGACTGCCGAAGTGGCACTAGCCAAAGGTTGCACTGCGACAGAAGTAGATCTTATCAAATACATTCACGCAGCTAATCCGCGCTTTAGTGCATCAATTGCTAAGGGGAAGGCACGCGCAAGCTCACTACCAGGAGCGATTTTATTAAATGTCAGCGGCATGAGAAACAAAGAGATCTGCGCAGCTACAATCGAGACAGCACTGCATAGTACTGACGAAGTAATTGATGCAACAGTTGATCTTGACAATCAGCGGGCTACAGTTATTCTTAAACCGGAGAGTAAGTTGACGGAAGAAGACCTGATTGAGGTGGTGCGAAGTGCTGGCAGTGCGTTTAATGCATCACGCTATAAGCTTTTTAATAACGACGGCGATTCCCGTGTGATATTTCTTACAATATATGGGATGCGCTGTGCGAAGAATTGCGCCAGGAAAGTGCAGGACGCCCTTAACAGTGCACCCGGAGTTATCAATGCCAAAGTTAATTTTGACACGAGGCGTGCTACTATTTTCCTGGAAACGGGGAGCCACGTGACAGAATATGAATTGATTGAAGTCGTGCATTCTGCCGGCCAAAATTTTTCGGCTGTTGTTGCAAAGCCAACGAGTGGGCCGCGTACAGTTTTTTTGACAATAAAAGGCATGAGTAGTTCAAAAAAATGTGCGCGTAAAATTGAGAGAGCATTGTGTACTTTGACGGGTGTAGAGAGCGCGGTGGTGGAGTGTTCGCTTAACCGTGCGAGCGTTCAGCTCGAAGCCGGCAGCTCTTTAGCGGAGAATGACCTCATTGCAGTCATTCGCAACGTAGGCGTAACTTACAATGCAGCGGTGTACGTTCCGTCGCCCAGTCCAAGCACTGTGCGGCTGAAGATCGAGGGTATGAACAATACAAAAGACAGTGTTCGCAAAGTTCGAGAGGCTTTCTGCGAGATAGACGGCATCATGTCTGCAAACGTGGACTTTGCCACTCAAACTGCTATTGTTGAAGTCGATCCGGATAAACAATTTAATGACGAAGCTTTGATGCTAGCTATAACGAGAGCTAAATCTAAAATTCAAGCCCAATTTGTCAACCCTACAGCTGGAGTGCCAGGCGCATTGGAGACGACTGTGAAGAATAAAGTGATTCTACATTCTGAGGCAGATGTGCATTCAACTGATGCATCAGCCGACATTGCGATATCGATCAACTCTAACGAAAGAGAAATCGGTGAGGCGACGCTTATAGTTGGTGGAATGACGTGTACCTCGTGCTCGAATTCGGTTGAAAATGCACTTAAGCAGAAGAACGGGGTTTTATCTGCCACCGTCAATTTCGCGACAGAAAAGGCAACAATTCGCTTTCATAAAGATGTTATTGGAGTCCGAACGCTTATTGATACCATTGAAGAAATTGGATATGATGCGGCCTATGTATCGAAATCCGAAGCGCAGAAGGCTCTAGGAGATCAACGTGCCAAAGAGATTAAACGCTATCGAGTTGACTTTTTTGTTGCCATACTCTTTACATTCCCGATTCTCACTGTTATGATGGTGTTTAGCAACATTGCACCTATTGAGCGCAAATTGGCCCTAAGCATTTTTCCTGGAATTTCGTGGCAGACATCAATCGTAGCGATTTTGGCCACGCCTGTTCAATTTTATTCTGCGCGTCGATTTCATACCGATGCTTGGAAGGGATTGAAAAATCGGGTGCTAGGCATGTCGTTTCTGGTGTCAATGGGCTCTAATGCCTCTTACTTTTACGGTCTGTTCAGCATTCTTCGCGCATGTTTACTGACAGAGTCAAGTGTTGCAAATGCGGACATGTTTATGACATCGTCGATGCTAATTTCGTTTGTAATTCTGGGCAAGTTCTTGGAATCAATTGCGAAAGGGAAGACGTCAGAAGCACTGAGCAAGCTAATGGAGCTACAGGTTAAATCCGCTACACTTTTGATTTACAGTGCTGATGGGAGACGAATCCAGGATGAGAAGACTGTCCCGATTGAATTGGTTCAGCGTGGAGACATTTTAAAGGTTGTACGTGGTACGGCAATTCCTGCCGATGGTGTCATTGTTTACGGCGAAGGTTGGATCGACGAGTCGATGCTTACGGGTGAATCAAAAATAATTAAGAAAGTTTTAGATGATCGGGTGCTTGGAGCGACAATGAATGTCGATGGTTTATTTCATTTGAGGGTTACTGGTGTGGACAACGACACGGCCTTAAGCCAAATCATTTGTCTTGTAGAGGCCGCGCAGACGTCAAAAGCGCCAATTCAAGCCTATGCAGACTACGTTGCCTCCATTTTCGTCCCAGCAGTGCTAGGGCTCTCTTTTTTTACATTTACAATTTGGTACCTTCTCTGCATCTTGAATATGATTCCTAAAAGCTGGATTCCTGTGACTGACAGCACATTTGTGTTTGCATTCAACTTCGGTATTGCTACACTTGTTGTGGCCTGCCCGTGTGCGCTAGGATTGGCTACGCCTACTGCTGTCATGGTTGGGACCGGGGTTGGAGCAGAACATGGTGTATTGATTAAGGGTGGAGAGCCGCTGCAGGCTGCGCATAATGTCGACACGATCTTGTTTGACAAGACAGGAACTTTAACTGTTGGAAAACCTGTGGTGACGGATGTAGTGGTGCTTACTAAGAAGGTGAGCACAGAAGAGCTCATTATTCTTGCTGGGTCGGCTGAACTTGGCAGCGAGCACCCTCTGAGTAAGGCGATCATTGAGTATGCAAAATTTATTTCGCCATCACTTGACCAACCCACAGATTTTAGCGGAGTTTCTGGGCGAGGAATTGCATGCATTGTTGGTGAGCATAAGATCGTCATTGGTAATAGAGAGTGGATGGAAGATAACGGCATGAAGCGTTTATCGAGTATTGTGCTCCAGCAGGCAACGGTTACTTTTCAAAATGCTGGAAAAACCTCGATATATATGGGAGTCGATGGCGAGCTCAGCGCAGTCTTTGGTGTAGCAGATGCTCCTCGCAAAGAGTCGATTCGTACGCTTAAGAAGCTGAAAGAAATGGGTTTAAAAATCTGGATGGTTACTGGGGATAACGCTCGCACTGCCTTCACCATCGCTGATCAGCTCGGGATCAGTCGTCGCAACGTAATGGCTGAAGTAGTTCCTTCTCAGAAGGCATCCAAAGTGAAACAACTCCAAAGTACTGGTTGCATTGTTGCCATGGTAGGAGATGGTATTAACGATTCACCAGCTCTTGCACAAGCGGATTTGGGTATCGCAATTGGAGGCGGTACTGAGATTGCAGTCGAGACAGCTGGCATGGTCCTCATGAAGGCCAATTTGTTCGATGTCATAACAGCACTTGACTTGTCCCGAACGATTTTCAATCGCATACGTTTGAATTACGTGTGGGCGCTTGGCTACAACTGTTTGTTAATCCCGCTCGCTGCAGGTGTACTGTTTCCCTACGGCTTCAGCATTCCGCCTATGTTCGCTGGTGGTGCCATGGCCATTTCGTCCTTATCGGTTGTCACGTCCTCACTCCTGCTTCGGTATTATGCTCCTCCAGCTCTCCCCCAAGATTTTAGCGTGGATGACACAAAGTCGCTTCTTTTCAAAAAGCCTACAGTTACGACGCCGCTGCTGGCCTCTAGCACGTTGGAATAGACAAAACGTGTTCAGCATATTGTAAAGTAATACATTTCGTAATATTCATTGAGATGTTAAAAAATAATTGGATTTTTTATGGATAGGATTTAAATTTAAAAATGGAAATCAGAAAGCTCCAAAGGAGGGAGCTCGACCTGGCCAACCGTCAAGCCAAGAAAAAGTCGAAGCGTGAAGCCAACAGCGGCGACCGCCGTCAGGCTGAGTCGCCAAAATATATATTTGCCAATGGTTACATCCAAATTTAACGACATTTGTAGATATGATTATAATTTTATTATTGCTGCAGGCTATCGCATGGTTGAGCCGTACGTGTATGAGTTCCGGACTCATGCCAAAGCGCGATGGTTTGATCGCGAGCTGCTAGAAATTTTCACCAAGGAATTTGGGGCCAACTCACCGGAATATTACGTGAGGTCTATATAGTATGCAAATTCGTTTGACTTTAACTTTTTCTTACTGACGTAGAAATTTGCGATTGCCTCGGGACGAATTTTAGTGAATCACAAGATCGTGCCGGCTAACACTATTATCAAAAATGGGGACTTAATCATGCATATGGTCACTTTTCATGCCTTAAGCGACAGTATTTGGTTGTGCTGCTTACAATACTATTGATGGAATTAATTAGGCTCATCGTCACGAGCCACCTGTGTCTGGTGAGGACGTCTCGGTGTATTATGAGGACGATGATCTTGTACGTATTGGCTCCTGCGATAAATTTGTCACACTGCTTTATTGACAGCGACTTTGCGACTAGATTGTTGTGTCAAAGCCTTCATCGATGCCCACCCATCCGTGTGGAGCCTATCGACACAACTCGTTACATACTATCTTGCAAGCCTCTCGACCAGATCTTCCTCGGTTGAATATTGTTCATCGGCTCGATCGGCTCACATCCGGTACTGACTTGAACGTAGATTAATAAAAATGTGTACCACTTAAGTGCACATTTCTCATGACTTAGGTGTTGTGCTCTTGGCAAAAAATGCGACCAAGGCGAAAGCGTTATCTACAATAATCGGTATGATCTGCACACTAGATCTGTTAACTGTGGACAATATAAAGCATTTTACGTTGTGCTGCACTGATCACAGCTGATCGCAAGGCTTCCAAGACATACCTGGCGCGAGTGCGTGGAAAATTTCCAGACATCTTCGATTCAAATGATCAAGACAAACTAATAAATCAGGCTAAAGAAAATTGTCTGGCTAGCGTCATTACGTTTCCAGAGGCCAATACTATCCTTATCAGCTGCCCGCTCCGCTGTCTGTCAGCCCGGGACGGTGTCTGGGAGTGCCACAAAGCAGGAAAATCATCGGAGACACTAGTGTGGCTTGTGCGTGCGGACAAGTATACTAGTCTTTTGAAGTGCAAGCCGGTAACTGGAAGAACGCATCAGATCCGTTTGCATTTGCAGCTGATTGGATTTCCAATTGCCAATGACCCTTGCTATGGAGGAGAGCTACACTTTGGTGAGAATGCAGAACGTATCAAACAAATTGCAGCTGCTAGGCGCAGTAAAGTCAACTTTCCACCAAAAGACCTCATAGATTTTTCGACTCCTCGAAGAGAAGATGAAAGTGAATTAGAATTTATGAAACGGACTTGTACGTGGTGCTACGTTGGCGAAGCTGAAGCATTTAATGAGACACAGCTACACTGCTCCAAAATCTGGCTGCACGCCCTAGAGTACCAGGTAATGTGCTGTCTTATCATACAATTTGTACAAATTATATTGTAACTATTCTGCACTCACGTGTCCTGGTATCAAGCTTGATGGGCAAACATTTCAGGTGCCCCAGCCTAGTTGGGCTGATTCCACAAACGAATACTGACGGCAGTGAGATGCAGCATTCTTGGCTAGCAGACTGATGATCGTTATCTGAAATTTAAAATCGCACGGTTGGTGGATGCGAGCGCATCAATTTCTGACTTGACAACGTCACTGATTGATCTCTACAACACCTATCGGGTCAGAAAGCAGGTTATAGTCGCAAATTAGTCTGATAGAGGTCAAGAGCTGTCTTAACTTAGAAATCTCGATCAACTTTCGGATTAGAGAGCCTGTAACATCTCCGTATTTTTCTTTGTAGCTTTCTCGCAAGTGCGCAAAAGAAATGCGAATAGTTGTCGTATGCGAACAAATCGCGCTGCGTCGCATTCCAAATTTAGTTATTATCTGCTGCTGATTCAATCTTGCCAAAAGGTAGTTCTGCATAGGATATGACACTTTTTAATGGTTTGACATTTACACGATGAATAGCGATTTCGTCAAAAGGAGTCCCCCACAGTGATTTAGACAAACAACAACAGCTCAATGCGTAAAAATTTGCTTCCCCAATTTTCGATGTAGTTCGCAGAGTATCCCCTCAAGCCTCAGCTATTCGAAACAAGAGAAGCTTGCGGCTCTCGCGTAGCACGAAATTGCTACCACTAAGCCGTCGCTTTTAGAGCATCAGGCAATGGTGGATTGAGCTTTATCTGGGTGACGCCATAAGGTAATATTCGCGCGTAAATGCATCGTAGTCTTCGAGCAACAGTTCGCCTGGAGAAAACATTCAGTCCGCCACCAGAGTGTAAATCTCGTTCCGTGATGAAGTGACTCTTTTCTTCAATTGCATCTTGATGTCATAAATCAGATTCTGGCTCTTTGGTCAATCTTCTGCGTGATAGCAAAACACTAAACTTGCCCCGACCAAGCTCACGGTAACAATCACTACAGATAGTAATGAAAAATAAAGTTTCTAGTTTCAGGATACAGCGGGTGATCATCAAGAAGCGAAAAATCTCAGCACCTTTCGGCTCAGGTCGTGAAATTTACGTGCAGCTTCTACTTTGCTGGCACCGATTGTTCTTGTGTGTACACGCCGTCGAACCTTGATCGTTCATTTTGGAACTTGAGTCGTTTAAATACACTTGAGCAAATCCCATCGGCTCGCCCAGCGCCTTAGAGTAAAACTTCGAGAAAAGGCATAACAATCTACAATGCGAAACATTCGCCCATGCAAATTCAAGTCACCACTAACGCGGAAATTATGAGATGAATGATAGTCGTTCGACATGTCATCGGAAGGAAAGCTAAGATTACAAGTCGATATGTGTGTAACGCGCTTTGGTAGCGAGCGCTTACTCAAGAACTTTTCGCGAGAAAGTATAAGACCATTCATCTCGGACATCATAGGGGCAGTGTATGTGAAATGTGTGGTACAAGTCGGCCGAAGTTGTTATGATTTTGATGCTGTGTTAAGAAATTCTGCCGACTGAAGCGCACTATTAGTTTTGGACGGCATTGTGTAATTTGCCAACTAACATGCGCTTCAGAAGTTGTCTACGGTAAAAATTGGTTCTAGCTATTTTATCGATCTCATTTCTGGGATTAATGGCACAAAAGCAAGAGTAAATCTATCTTTGATTGAGCTCGCAAACAAGCGTCACGATATAAATGTTGTTTTGGCTTTCGCGAGCATTGTAACATTTCAAATTGCTTTTCTACTGCCGGAATCACGAATTGCCGCGCTCGAAACATAAAGAGCTAAATCAACGCGAGAGTTATCAGATAGTAGTACCTTGTCATTCTTATACTTCATATTCATCTCATAGCGAGCAACTTACTAATATTGGACCATTCGAGTTTCTTACCTCGTCGAATGGCTTATATGATAACCTCAACTATGCTTTCACATATCGTTCGGGCTTTTCATAAACCTACCTTCCCATTTCTACTGCATTCGACAGAATCGAGAATGCCATTAACTCTTTGAGCTGAGTCTTTTAAGTTCTATTTAGTACTGCAGGTTTACCGTACGGCACTATAGTTCTTAATTGATGTACGTACTATTAACACCACCAGTGAAAACATTGTGGAATTGCAAATAGATGCGCACAAAGCGTGATTGAGCTGTACAACAGGCCAAACGGTACTATGATATAGAGCAACAAGCGTGTACTTCTGCCGAAAGGATTGAGCTCTACTCCGCTAGTTTGGCTTTCTTCTTGTGCTTCTTTTTCTTCTTCTTGTCCGTGTCAACAGCAGGAGCTACTGCAGCTTCCTTTTCTTCTTCAGCCTGATTCTGTTTTTTATTTTTCTTCGCCTTCTTTGACTTTCTTTCTGAAGGTTCCTGCTTTTCCTCCACTTCTAAATCTTCGTCCTCGAGTGGACGTTTTTTTGATTTCTTGTTCTTCTTTGGCTTCTTTTCAATCATCAACGCATCCTTTTTCAGCTCGTCTGATACCTCCTGCATCACATCAGCATTTTTTCGGGGGGGCGCTCCACTCTCGTAAAATGAAAGCCGCTCCTCGACTTGCTCGCGCATCTTGTCCCCGTATTTTGTGGTGGGCTCGTCGATGAAAGAATCGATGCGCGAAGCAATTGCACATTTGTTTGCAAGATAGCGAGATATACGACCCTTGTTCTTAGCAGCCGCACGGCCGATAAAGGTTGAGTGAAATAGAAGACCATATTTGGGAGTGTTTCCACGAGTTTTTAAAGCACGAAATAAGGCCTTTTCAGCACCAAGAATTTGCACAGTCGAAGCAGGGCATTTAGCCAGATTTGTTAACGAGCCAGCATGCGAGATAAGGCGAGCACCCACCGACTCACCGATTAGTGAGGCAAGATTCGGGGCTACAGTTGACATCTTGGAAACTAGATATTGGTGCAGCTGACGGCGATACTCGGCAAGATTAACGAGACGAGAAGTAAAATTATCGATATTGATCATATCGATCTCTGACATGTCCATACCCATAGAGGAGCGAGAGGCATGCAATATCTGCTGCGCTTTGTCCTCATCGAGGACGATCTTTGCAAGTTCTTCAAGTGAGTCCTCACTCAGCGAGTTCCGATTCTTGATGAATGAGGCGCAACGCGCGTATACGTAATTGTCGTTGACAATTTTAACCAACTCAGGAAAGTGCCACGAATACCACTCACGTACACGCATGGCAAATGTGTTAATGTCCTTGTCCATTTGGTCAAGCAGCGCGATAGCCTGGATAATCATGTTGTCGGCACGGTTTACGTTAAATTTGACCTTGGCACGTGAGTACGAGTGACCAAGACCAAGTTGAGCCTTGGCAAGGTTACCTTGTGCCAGCTCCTTTACAAAAGTGTCAAAGTGCATGCGCACACCGCGGACGATCTCGAGTGTGGTCTCGCTCGTGTTGCACGAGACGCTAAGCTCGTCTGAGATTGCCTGGGCCAAGCTCTTATCCTGCACGCCAAGAGTAAATTTACCCTTTTTACTAGCCTTTACTTTGGGCAGGTTCATCTCAAGGAAGTTTTTTAAGTCATCGCTCAGCAGACCCTCTGAAATGTTATTTATGTTCTCGAGAGCGTTCTCGGCCGACGTGAACGGCTGAAAAGCCTTGAGCTTCACAATGCGACCGAATGATGAAATATCTGCTACCGATGCTTGCACTTCAGTCAAGAGGCTGCCAATTTCCTCGTTTTCTATTACTTCAAAGATCGCATAGCCAGAGGCCGATTCAAACAGCACAAAGTTGTTGGCACCCTGTCATTCAAAGCAAAAAATGTTAAACAAGTTAAACGCGGATATCTAAGGGGCTCATTCGAACAGTTTGCGCACGCAATTTACGTCAACAGCGCATATTACGAGCTACGGTCCTGACGCACCATAATTAGCCTGAGCTGTTTTTCCGACTGGGTTAAATGGTGGCGCTTGCTCTTCTTTTCAGTGGTTGCTAGCCAGCCAGGTCAGCCTACCTTTTCATTGGTTATTATGTTACAGGTGCAATTACAGTAAAAAATACCCCCAATTTTCATGACATACATAATATATATAGTATGAGAAGCGACGCAATGTTTATCATTCATTGCGAGCTAGCATGTCTGTTTTCGCATGAATGTTCGTACTTTTCCATTCGATTCATCATCTCGAAGCAAGCCCCTTTACTAAGCCATTTCACGTCATGCTAACTGCAGCGGATTTTCGTGCACTAACACCGCGAAAGTTTCGACTTGTTCAGTCCGCTTTAAGTGACGCACTTGGGGTGAATTCGATAGCCGTCTCTGGAACGCGAATTGCCGAACGCATTGATTTATTTTTGCTGAACTAAATTTGCTAGCTAAAATTGAGCTCAACATATCGTTTTATTAACAAACTTCTTGGAATAAGTCCGTTCCCGCTTAAAATCTGCTCATTGTTGTGACAGAATTTGCTTGGCTATCACTATCACCACCACTTCATTCGTCGATCTGAGACTGGTGATTACCGTGCAGTTCCACAACGCCATCCCGATGTGGCGGAACAAAAGATGATCCAGTGAATTGAAAAACATGGCAATCGTATACGAGTTGTGCGCTGATCCATGTGTTGGCGTAAGCGAAGCGCCACGGTGTAATCGATCCGCATCGATTGCGTAAGAGTGGAGGCTGGCGAAATGAATGTCCCTCGTGGTGGAAGACTTGCTATTTGGCGATTAGCGACTCCAAAAATATACAGTCTCGTGAAAGCAGAAGGCCGACATGAAAGTTGCAATCAGCGTCTCTCCGTGTGAAGCCACTGGACTAACAGCTTCATAAAGTGCGACGGGCTGCTTTTCGACGTTAAACCAAACTCACGATTCAGACAAACGAAGTCATTGTGATCCGCATTTGTCGCGTACATACGATTTCGACAAAGCAGTCCTGAGGGAATAGTTGCTGTGTAGCCCGCGCTCTGATCGTGTATGTCGTAGAATTTGACATAATTAGCTCAATTCGCTCATCTGCAAGCACAAAGTCACATTGACCTTCAGTAAAAGGTGCATCAATTGTGACGCTGAGATAGCGCGCACCTCCCTCACTTCAACCCGCTCTTGTGAAACGGCCGTTGTACTATGCATTCCATGCTACACCCGCCCCTCTCCTGTTAGAGTTTGCGCCGACACAAAGATCTCCGTGAAAGCCACACCTGCCCAAAAATGTCCATAAAAGGAGACCGTCACCAAAATAGGTCTGCCGCCATTTTGACTCCAGGAATTCGGACTTTAGACTTAGTTCGTTAAATTCATCCTCCCTTGGTAAGTGGCATGGATTAGAAAAAGACGGTATGCCAAGCTACGCGGTACATACACTTGCGACATACAGTGTCATTTATACAGTTCCCACTTTGGGGCAGTCGTCCCCAATGCCCAGAGTCCTCTACACAGTACATCCGATTATGCTGATTGGCATTTGCGCCAGATTGATGGCCACATTCCGCTTGTTATAAACCTATGTGTTTTGCCACATGTAGTGAGCCTTTTTGACGCTGAAAAGTAATGATTTTCTTATTTAACTCGCTTGGTTGGAAGAATGTGTCAACGACGTTGAGCGACTATTTCCTATGTAAGTTCATTGGCATGTTACAGAATAATTGGTCCTTAAATGCCACAAATTGTTGAAGCTAAGATGCTGTGCAAGGTATGCATGTCACGCGGTGTTGCTCAATCAGCTGAACGGTCACACCGTGACAAGAATGAGCCATTCTTTAGTTGACTAAATAACGTCTGGGGCCTTTCACTCACGACTTGCAATCGCCGACTCCCACTGGGTTTGCTGGACACCGTGGCACCAGGCCGTCTCTACTTGTTCATAAAAGTGCTTTGAAAGTGAGACATCCAGTAGCTCATTTTGGCTTCATTCAAAAGAATCTTCAAAACCTCAGCTCACATATGAAAATATTCGTCTCAGCAGATTGCTCTGGAGACCGTATCATACTGCTGCGACATTTCGCCTCACAGAATAAATATTCCGAAAGCAGAGAGATATCGCTTGCCAAAAAGTCACTTTTGAAACTAGATCAAACAAAATGTTTGTTAATCGGGAGGCTCTCGGTTCGACACCTAGATGTACCAGAATGAGTTAGCTAACGCAAAATTTAAAAATCAAGGCTTTCTCTGTGCGAGGTGTACGACACCCCCGCTGCATCTGGTAGCGCTTGATGTCAGTCCAAAGACGGAGTCTGAGTCGTCGGTGAGTTCGGAATCTGATGTGATTAATGAGCGATCCTGGTTACAGTAAGAGAGCTAAACGAGCTTCTGTCTCTAGTAGGCCCCGTAGGATAGCGCAATTATTGGTCAACGATTCAGAATATTTATACTCGTCTTGAGACGTTCACTGGCTATAAAAAAGTGCTGGTGATACATGTTCAAGAGTAACAGGTAATGGCTATGGGAGAACAAGCGTCACCCACAGTAATGTCGCTTTTGCGTAAGGTGATTTATTCGGATCTGAATAGAAGTAATCTTCCACTGGATTAGAGGAGCTGAATTGCTATAAATTGGTCACACTCCAGAAGGCACAGTAGGGCGTCAAGCTGGCAAAAATTCTTGCTTGGAGGCCGCGCGAGGATGAGCAATGGTGTACGGTATTATCTATCAGCGAATCTTGCGCGATAGTGTTTTTCTATACAGCATTGAGCACGATCGGTGGAAAGCTCCGGGACTATTCTGCTACGGGGATACCTAATGTGCCAGCGATGTGGGACCGTCCATACATTTATTTGAGTCACATTGTACACGCGCACAGATCTATTTTAACGTTATAGCTGTCTATCGCCGTCAATTGATCGTAGGCATTGTTACTGAGCACCTGCGAGCTGTGCTTAATTGCTTGCGCCTTAACCAGCTGTAGACACATATGTCTTCGGACAAGTTAGAGTCAAACTGTTTCCAGACAAAGTATTTCGCCAGCATGTTTGCCAGCGGCAATTGATGCGAATCACGATCCGCGTTTGACAGCATCATATTGGCTAGGATAATCACATCAGCGGCGTGGTGTGCATAGGTCAGGTTCCATTATACATGTTGCGTGGAGCACATAATTTGTGCTTCTCACATCAATCTTACACCCTGTATAGTTGTATACCCCCTTTCAGTTCCATCGTATCAGAACTGGAAGTTCTTGTCAGGTTAGGGAGGCTCAAAACCTGTTGGTTATAAGAATAAATGTCACTTCACCTTTCCTCCTCTCTACGGAAGTCAACGGCCTGCGCAAAGCGAGCAGCACGCGGTGAGGCGGGTTAGTTGACCTAAGCCATCCTCAGAAAAGTGTGTACATGGACGGGCAATCCCCGTTGCACTTGGTAGCACTAGCAGTCATTCCAACGCCAACTACTCCGATGGATTTATCGATGAATAATGTGATCGTCCATGGATCAACAGGCAGGAATTTTTTTTACAACACGCTCGCAATGGGAGTGTGTGGTAAAGCTGCGAGCCTTAATCGGAGATCACGCGGCCGCCGATATGCTCCAATCGGATCAAGAAGCGATAACTCAGCGCTTAGCAAAATTTGCTGCGAATGAGCAAGATTTATTGGAATGTTTTTGGCAGCATATTAGTCAAGTTACCTTTGCCATGTCGCATTTGGATAGCCGTGTGAAAAATTGGTCGATGACATGGAAAGTTAACCGCCCTGGCTACTTTGCCGCATGGCGCGAGCTGAAAAGGCCATGGAATCGACGTAATGTGGCGTTTCGATAACGGTCGAAGTTTTTATCATGTCGTCAAGACAACGGCACGTTGTACGATTATGTACAGAGGCTCCGTGAGCTTTGTGCTAGCGTGGCAAAGCGATCCACTGGCAGAGGCAGTGATGGTCACCGTGATGATGGAGGGATACACTTATGGTCCTCCCGGGATTGAAGACTTCTGCCAGAGTCTGACGACTCTAAACGATGCAATTTATTGCGTGAGGACTACTGTCAGCGTTAAGCATGTGGTAAATTGGTCAATCCGATGGAAGCAGTGGCTGCTACTATCGGAGTTCCGGAACCAATGGACCTAAGCGAGGCGACTGTCTTTAGACAGCAAGTTCGCTGTTACGGATGTCAGCACTTCGGTCATATTCGCCGCGACTTTCCATGTGAGTGACAAATCTCTCAATATGGTTTTAGTTATTATAATCCCGGTCACGTGGTATCAATACCACGAGGCGTTCGGGAAACGCCGGGACCCAGTAGAAGCAGGGCGGTCTACTGGGGCAATTATAAGCTCTTGTGAGTGTGGTGGTAAAATTACTCACGGGGGTTTAGCCCCTGAGGGATTGCTGTCTTTTTCCAACGACTCGGTCTCCGCGTGGTCACAGCAAGTGCGAAGGGTTAAGGTCGTCCATACATTGACTCTGGCGCGTCGCGCAAAAATGCGCGGGGGCGGGATGTTGCTTGAAACGATTCAGTGCTTTCGGTTACACTGGATAAAGCAATGGTTTTATCTAAGTGAAGTTGGCCGCTGGTGCGGTGGTTACCGCGAAGAAAATTACGGTATTCTTTTAGTTGAGTTCGAAGACTTCAACTCGCCGACAGTATTCACAGTCTTTGAGATGGACGAACGTTATGACCTAATTTTAGGTATACCATGGCTTGACAAGCCCGAGCCATGGATCGATTGGCGATCAAGAACAATTGGGGGTGGCTCTTTTGGCGTTGGTAAAACTTTTGGGAGTAATGATTCATAACGCACCAGAAGAAACGCTCGAGCGCTAGGCAACATGCTGCTAGAAATGATCCACACTTTATTGGTATATGTCATGCAATTGACACCCCCCAGGTTAGGGAAGATACTACGAAGTCGAATGGAGTGGCCATGGGTGGTCACTCAGGAAGTTTGTCGATGAATTAAGTGGCCGCATAAGAACAAATGAATTGTTGATGGGTACGGCGATTTGCCAGCGGAAAAGTTTTTTGAGGGAGAGATGCCGGCTGTTGCCCCCCTTCAAGACAGAAGAATGCAGTCGGCATGTGTGTAACGGAAATTCGAACGAATTGACTGTGGCTGGATATTCCAATACTCCCACTGGAAAACAGTGGTTGAGTAGGATTGTGTGTCGTTGGGTCCAACTAACCACAAAGGTGACGCTCCCACCGTTGTGTGGTTGAGCACACACATGTGTAGAAATAAACGGAAATTGTTGATCGAGGTGTTTGTAACAGGATTTCACGTGCCTGGTATGAAGGGTGCGGGATACAAAAGATGGAGTGACTAAACAACGGTGTGGCTACACTTGAACAAGAATTCTGTACATGGCTGGAACAGCCAGTAGCTATACATTTAATTAGTTGTTGTTATATAGATAGGAAAACCTATATATTTAGATATAGGCGATTTTACCACAAATGAAACCGAGAAATACAGTTTACGTTTGGAATAGAGGAGTTAATTAGCCTTGATTTAAGGTGGTATTACTCTAGGAGTAAGTGGATTGCGCTGCAGTGCTGACACTCTCGCTCTGGGTGCGGTTGAATCCGTGGTTGAGTTAGTCCAGCGTACTACTTCCCATGCATGCGATTATACTGGTCCACGTATTGTGAAAGCATCGACTGGTTATGAAGTCACAAGAGTAGCTTTCTTCTGGCACCGTTGCCGTTGATGGAAGCGCTGGTGCAGCTCGACGAAGTCACTTAGGATGACTTCCTACAAGAATTCCAAGTGTGATGACATTGAGGTGGTCGTGTTGCTCCAGTCGACAGTCGACCTAGCGGAACTACGCTCATCATCCGTTACGGATGACTCGGTTCTCGAGAAACTTTGACAGCGTGTGGAGTCACGCAGAGGATCGGCTATTATGAAGGATCCAACGAATCATTATTATTCACTTGTTATGGAATATAAGGATGACAGCCTTAGTGCGAACCCGCCCTATGGACTTCCACCCGAACGTGAGTTTGACACAAATTGATCGTGAGTTTAATTTACATGCGGTACTGAGATAGTGACCACTGTCGCGTGAACATAGTGAGTACATCTACGGCTTCATTGCTCAAAAGCAAGCTGCTGGTTTGGTGAAGAAGAGCGACCTTCAAAGCGCGTCGATGTTTTGTGTGCGTAAGCCTAATGATAAATGGCGTATCGCTCACGCCTATAACAAGATGAATGCGCAGACAATTGCCGCGCTAACGCCGATTCTGCGTAAGGATGTCATCATCACATGATACTCAGTTAAGTGGACTTGATTTGGCTGATGGATATTACCACATCTTGATGAGGGAGGAGGAGCCCCTTTGACGGCTGTTAGTACACCGTCCGGTATGTTACGAAAGTGTACTGTGATACCTCAGGGTCTATCTAATACCCCAGCAACGCTCAATCGATTGGTTTCACATCTGTTTCGACCACTGTGACGCTTAGCACAAACCCATGTCGATGATATTTTCGTCATATGAAGGATGAAGGTGGCAGATCTACCGAAGAAGTGCACCTGGATCACCTCCGTGCGTTTCTGAAATGTGTGTGTAAACATTCATTGCAAGCGAATTTTGCAAAGTGTATTTTCGGTGCTAACAAAGTACCGGCCTTCGGTTGATATGCTAGTGAATACGGTGTTCGTGCAGATCCTCAGAAGGCCAAAACAATCGTGGAGTGGCCAACTTTTAAAATTATAAGGGATTCGAGGAAATGGATTGGTTTTTTCGATAACCTGGTTTCTCGTGTAACTACGCGATCATGGTACGCCCATTATTAACCTTGCTGAAAAAGGACGTATTATGGGGAATGGTCATCTACTTGTGAAGAAGCATTCACTTAAATCAAGAACAACTTTATAGAAGTACCATTAATTATTTATCAGATGATACGAAGCCGTATAGCGTGTTGTGTGACGCTTCTGTATTTGCAATCGGTTGTGCATTGTTGCAAAAGGACTCAGAAAAACACGATTGTGTTGTTTCAATAGCGACAGCTGGTGCCAGCAGAAACAAATTACCCTGTCCACGGCAAGGAGCCTTAAGCAATGAATTATGCTCTGTTGAAGTTTCGTGTTGTTCAACTCCGTTTGTTGTCTACACGGATCACACAATGTTGCGATATGCAGTTCGGTCACCTCTTTCGTCACAGCGAATAGCTCGCTGGCTGACATTCCTCGCAGAATACAACTTCTCGGTCGCGTACAAGCCAGGGAGACTGAACGTGCTGGCAGACGCATTGTCACGTCGTCTCGACTATGAGTTAGCTCGTATCAGTTATATTGAAAGCGATGTATTTGATATGATACACCGAGCGTATGTTGAGGACGAACAGTGTGATCGGATCATCAGAAAGCTGTCACTGAACGATATGGAATTCATGACAAGCTTCCTGGTCGCTTGAAATCAAGGTTGCCTCGTTTTGCAGGGAAGAATGGTTTCCTTCACTGTGAAGTTGCACGTGACGGCGAGCCAAGGATTTCGGTCTCCCACAACGATGATTTGAAGCATAAGAAAATGTACGAGGCGCCTGATACGCTGATGGCCGGTCGCTTTGGTCTTGATAAGACCCACCAGTGAATGGCATTTTGATACGTGAACACACGCAGTGTCTGTCAGTGCGTGAAGAGCGCAAGGCACACGCAAGTGCCACTGTAGAGTCTCTCTGTTCCAAATGACTGTTGAAAATTAGTCGGTCTCGACTTTTTTTGGCTTCTCCAAAAATGCTGACGGTCACAATGGTTAGTTTTGAATGATTTGTCTTGAGGTAGGATTGAGACGTTAGGTTACGGGGTTATCTCTTGTCTTGTTGACAGACTCAGCAAGAAGGATTCGATTAGCGATTCGATCGATGCCTGAGGTTTGGCTAGATTGTTTATTGATCATGTTTTTTGCAATCACTGGTTGCCAGAAGCCATCGTCTCCGATTGTGATAAAGGATCACGAGTGGCCTTTAGGGAAAACTGTTCCAAATTCTTGGCACTCGCTTGGATATGTCCACATCAATACACCCGGAAAACAACTAGTAAACAGAACGCTCCAACCGAGTTATCGGTGATGTGCTGAAAAGTTTCTGTGCGGAGAATCCCGCGGAATGGAGTTAATTGTTACCATTAAAGGCGTTTACTATGAACAATTTAGTTCATTTATCCACTGCATTTACGCTATTTTTTATAAACGGCTTGCGACACCCGCAATTACCGCTTTGTGCGATGGGTTGTGTGTCTAATGTAAGAGGAAGATGGGCTCGACAAACCGTTGCCCCCAGAATTGATACAGTCAATGATGCGCATGTGAAAGCGCAAGTACGAGGACTCCCTGGACTCATTCATCATAAGTCGTGTGAATGTGATCACACGGATGCGAGAAGCAATGGCAAATGCGCAAGCTATGCAAATGAAAATGCAGTTAATGGAAGTCGACAAGGCGAATGTTTTCTATTGTAAAGGATTATATACAACTTGGTACGAAGAGCCGATCAGATGATGCGATCTCAAGCTTGGGAAGCTCGAAGCTATTACCTCGCATTATCGGTCCATTCTGAAGAGTGTCATGCCAAGAAATGCATCCTGCTAAGCTGGCTAAGGACTCATCCAACATTTAACATAGTGCTCTTTAAGCCCTAACATCACGATTACGCAATTTCCAACCAGGATGTAACGCAGTCTTATTCGAAAGTGGCTATACATCCACGGCTTTGGAACAAGGATCGAAGGATGAACCCATTGGCGTCGTCGCCCCAACGCCACCCTCGGATTGACGGGATGATCGGGAGTGCCCGAAAGAGAGCAAGATTGATTGCCGCATATCCGTGGAAGCAACCGCAGCAGGCAGGAGAGCTTGCAGAACCTGCTGCAATCGGCGGAGCCGATCCTCGATTGCGTTCCCAGGCGACTTTCCACGATGCCATGCGAAGTCGCAAACTTCGCGTAGGACCGATCGGTATTCCTTCACGTGCTGTCGTGTCGACGACACTCGATCGGTCACCTAAATTAGCCGATGGTTCCTCAGCGAGAGAAGGTTCTCCACCTTCGTCAAACGTATTTCAAAGGCGCAAAAGGTCTGTGGACCAGCCACAGTAGAAGCAGAGGGAACGCCCGCTTCGGCCACCTTCCTCTCTTCTGGATCGACAAATGAATCAACACTACCACGTCGAGAATGTGGTGGCGGAGAGGGACGTCCGCGGTCGGAATGAACTCCTGGTAAGATGACTGGGATATCCTACGAGCGAGAATACATGGGAGCCTCGTGCGCGTATTCTTCGACTGTCCCAGTATCGTTTGCGAATTCAAAGCGGGTCCGAAGATGGACTCCGCTTAAAAAGCTGCCCTTACTCTTCTTTCCCTGTCCCTCTCGTCATGAAACCTGATAACCGAGCACACATCAGTCGAGAATCCATTCGACTGAGGATTTTGCCAAACTCTATGGTGGAATTACCACGTCTTTCGTAAAAGTTGTCGCGACGATCAAGATCACAATAGCGCAAATGCGCTGATTGACGCTGTATTGGGACAATGTCCAAGTTCGATAATGACGAAGATCTCATGTGGGGCAAGCGTGTCTAGAGAGCTGGAAAGAGTGTAATAAAGAGCAGAAGAAGAATACAAAGAAAATGCTGAAGAAAAGCCCGAAAAATGATAGAAGAACTTAAAGTCAAGTCCAAAGAAAGATGGAGAAGCTTGAGGCAAAGTCTGAAGAAAAGTCCGAAGAGGAGGTTGAAGAAGAGTTGGAGAAATTTTTAAGAATGTACGTAAACCCACTTTTGAGGTCGTGGTGGCGAACTGGGTCAGGTCCCATTACACATTTTGTGCGGACCTCATACTTTCTATGTCTCACATATAATGTATACTCTGAATAGTTGAATACCCCCTCTCACTTTTGTAGTATCAGAATTGGTAGAACTTATCAGGTCAGGGAAATTAACAACCTGTTGGCTATAGTAATAAATGTCAACTCATCTTTCCTTGCCCTCTCGTCTAATTTCTGCGAGATTAAACTGTGCTTTCTTTTCAAGGGCAACCCGGATGATATCAGCGAGTGAAATACCCACTCCAAAAAAAAGTGGACGCGCTGTGTGGCGACATTATAAAAATTCGAAATAAAAAATGTGGTGAATTTTGTTTAGACACGTACCTTAGTAATATAACGCAAACTCAGTGAGTGGGAGTGCAGCGGGGCTGCCGTAGCTCTTTCGCTTAGAGAAAACTTGGTTAAGGTCGGTGACCTTCGTTCAATATTTAGAACCAGTCCGAGTGTAGCGAATCACAATCAGCTTACTCCAAGAGTAACTACCAACTTAACCCAATGTTAATTAACTCTTCCGTTTAAAATATAACCTGTATTTTTCAATAGATTTGCGGCAAAGCTGTAACGGAATTACACGTACCCCGGTATGAAAGGGTGGGTCACACAAGATGGTGCGACCGCATAAAGGTATGGATTGCACAAGTCGGTCTAATCACACAATGGTGTGGCTACACCATGATGAGAAGCCACTGGCGGGACTGTCAGTAGCTATACATAATAATTTGGTTTTACTATTTGATTGAAAAAAACTAAGGGTTTAGATATAGGCGTCTCTGCCGCAAATAAATCAAATAAATACAGTTCCAATTTTGAACGGAAGTCGTCATTTGCCTTGGGCCAAATTTTAAGTTCTGATTACGATTCGCTGCATTCGTACTGGTTCCAGTTTAGTACAAAGGTTGGTGACCTTAAGTATGTTTTCTCCAAGCAAAGAGCTGCGGCAGCCCCGCTGCAAAAGATGCCTATATCTAAATCTATAGTTTTTCTATATATGTGTATATGGTAAATCTAGCTAAATGTAAAACTACTGGCTGTTCCAGGTACATAATGAATTGTTGTTTAGTGTAGCCACACCGTTGTGTGGCCATACCATCTTGAGTATCCCAGACCATTGTGTGATATCACCATCTTGTGCGACCCTTTTAAACCCGCACCTGTAAGCTTTACATCATTTACACATGGCTGGGCTCATTCCCATGTTTTCTTGATACCTCTAAAAAGTGATTCAGTCTTAGTTCAGGGAGGTTTGCCGATATATTTGACTCAAACGTGGAGAGACAAGTTCTTTTACTGTTGTACTTCTCCAAGAAATCACATTAGCCCAATTTTCATAGCAAATCGTCAATTTATATCGAAGATATTAAGATCGCGCGTCAAGCACAGGCCATTATAAGCGGAGACCAAGATATACAAAAGCGCGTGACTAGATTTCACCGAACACCGAACAATCTGCCTATATTTGTAATGTCCGCATTCGTTACGACGGATTTGCGCCCTGCTTCATTAGATCCGTTACCGCCATACCTAACGAGAACCACTTTTTAGATCTTAAACGGATACAAACACGTCCTGTGTTCCGACCGACGTCCTTATAGGACGCGCGATACGACTCACAAAATATAGTCAATCCGCTTTTCACTATCAAACGCTCAGAGGAATGAGCCGCACAAGGCTCGTCCTTGCCAGTATAGCTCGATGGGCACGATGATACCCCCTTTCTCGCGACTCGACGTGAGGGCTGGCGTATTCGCCACATATATAACCTATATGGTAAGTAAACGAACTATCTTTACTCAAAATAGTCTAGAAGCTTGAGCTCTCACTTTTGTCAAAAGTTTTCGATGCATACAACATATTATACCATCTACCTCCACTTCTCCCTGGTGTGGCGCTACTTCATTTTCATTTGTAGGGGCCCGTCTATTTTCAAGTTTCGAGACTGGGCTGGATGTTTTTTTGACAGACGCATGAGTACGAGCGTGACAGAGTTCACGATAAACACGAAGCGAAGTCGAGTGCCTACTCAGCTGACGTTCTTGTATGGCGTCTAAAGCCATGTTCAGGATATGATATCGTCTTTGCTATGGTATACGTTCTTCTCAGAAAGCAAAGTAGATTTGTTCATATCGAATTACCCATCGAGACATCGGGGAGCTGGCATGATATGCGTGAACGTTGCAAACGCACTAGTAAATAAAGAAATACGGGTAGATTCAAGCAGCCTGCGAAGAAGGTAGTGCTAACTGAATGAGTCGCTTCGACTATTCAGGAAGATTCTCGTCTTGAAAGCCCTCATTACGTCAATCAGCAATGCCGCATATTTCTTGGCGGCTTCACAGCTTAGGGATAACTACTGGCGAAAACGCACTGGGGAATAAACGTCTCACAGATCTTGCAGCTTAACAGGTCAGCTTGAGTAACACTAAACGTTTTTTTAATTTACTAAGTACAAAGCATGTTGTCGAGGCCGGTAATCATCACCTCAAGGTATTTCTGCCAACAGACCTGCTCATCTTCACGGGCCTGCAGGTACAGCTACCAGCCACATTCTTAGCCTGAGACAGCCCGGGTCTCAGTCGCTAGTGGTATTCGCTGGACGAAACTGTCTTTTTCCTGGGAAGGTAAAGATAGTGGGCGCGCGAAGTCATAAGCGGTAGTGGCGCTATGAAAAATTGCTGAGCGTGGAACATTACCTTCGCATGTTAGTGCATCGACCAGATATCGATAACAGCCCAGAACCAGACAAGCTATTCACTAGCTTTTTTTTCCACATGAAGGTAGCCCATCCCTTGCGTATCGAGTCGTGTTGGTGGATCATGACCCTCCCACGGTTAGCTTTCGTAGATTGCATCGATAATTGCAGTAAGTCAACTTCATTCAAGAGTATTGTCGATGCGCCAAAGCTGTCTTGGGCCAGTCTTCGTAAGCACTTCTGAGCGTTTCATATGCAAAGTGATTTGCGGCACCTTGGACAAATCAAAACCGTATTACAAACTTACAGCAGAAGATAATTTATCTACATGGGATGACCGTGACGCTGCTTCGTCTTTAACAAAGTGCTAAATATTCGAGTGAATCGCCTTGTATGAATTTGACGCCCACGTAGAACACGGACTGCACCCACATTTTTTGTAGCCTATGTAGCTTGATCCTCTTCTAGCTACGACAGGAAACATTTTAGTGTAGCGGGGACGCAACTCATAAATATAGACCTCAGGCACTGCATGTATTAGCGTTCAACACTATAATTCCAGCCAACAACATTTTTATGTGTGTTCGTTTCCTATGGTATCTGTATGTTGTCTTTGCATAGCCTGGCACTTGGCCACAGCGTAGTGCGCACTCGGCGCATGACGCTCAATATCATCGTCGTAGAGTACAAAATTTTGCTGCGAAGATTAGCCAGTTTGATATTAGCAAGTTGAAAAGAGTCGACAACCCCACCGAAGCAACTTCGTGTAGGTGTTTAGTAGTGAGCAAAAATAAAAAGAAGCAAAAAGTGAAATCCGTCAGAGAACATATAAAACGTTAATTCTCGCAAGTAATTCAAAGAAATATTGACGCCTTCCGTCGGACCATCAGTCTGCGGATATTTGGCGGTGGACATGATAAATCTGGTGCCTAGTATCCTTGTACAAAGCTTCTCGAGGAAATTGATTTTGACAAAATGACCACCGAATATGATAGAAAAAAACTTTGAGGAACAGCTTGGGTGTATATTTCTTGGAGCCACAGCCTCAATAGGTTATCTTGCTCAGACGCTTAAAAGTAATACATGATTGGTATTATCAAACGCGCACTGAAGGTTACGTGCATTCAACTTCAGCATCACAAGAAGCTCTATATAAATGATAAGGGCACTTTCCGCTGCCGCATTACGCTCTTAAGGCTTAGACGCGATGATGCGTTCATGCACATTGTCATCTACTTGGGGTACAACATAGCCTGTGGACTGTTGTGTGTAGGCACATCACGTATCCTGGTACAGTGGAACGCACCGAAGGATGTCTGTCACATCTGAATCATGATACAATTATTGAGAAGGCAATGGAATTAGGCTAATACTCACGGACCTTGATTAATGGCAAATCGCTTAGCCTGTACACGGGGCAAGCAGCTCAAAAATCGAGCGTTAAGCAGAGTTACGGGCAAAACGTGCCGATTGATATTGTAACGGGGTTACACGTACCCTGGTAACAGGGGTGTGTGTCACACGAGATATACGTGGTGTGACTGCACCCAAACAAGAATACGGTATGTAGCTAGGTAGCCAGTAGTTATGCATGTATTTAGATCTTACTATATATATTTAGTAAAATCTATACATTTAAAATCAGGCGGTTTAGCCGCAGATAAAAATAAATAAAAATCAATTTTGAATTTAGACCGAAGAGTTTATTAGCCTTGGTTAAGGTAGTAACTACTCCTGGAGTTAGCGGATTGTGATCCGCTATGCTGTTATTGGTTCTTGTAAAGAACGAAAGGTCGGTAACCTAAATTACGCTTCCTCAAGCGCTAAGCTATGGCAGCCCCGGTGCACTTGGTAGCACTTGTAGACAATCTCCACCTGAATCA